TCTTATAGCCGAATGCACGAAATGGAGATTGCTTGTTTACTTAATAATATCGTTCATAGTTTATTTGATATAATACAACTTCGACTTTGTTAGGTCCTCGTAAAATGGCATAACCTTTGATCTCACGGAACGTAACACTTCGGTACATTAAAAATACGACTCGTTAAGGAGGAGAGGGGGAAATCTACGAGAGTGCAAGACTCATTTTTTGACTTTGGCCGTAGAAATACAAGATAATCATCTGATACTTATTCTTCAAAACGTAATTTCAGTTTACGAGCGTTGAAATGAACGAAACATAAAATTTATAATGCTTCATTTCTCTAAAAAAAAAAAAAAAAAAAAAAAAAAAAAAAAAAAAAAAAAAAAAAAAAAAAAAAAAAAAAACATAGTTCTCCATGCGAAATAGATTTTCTCTCTTTCTTTTTCTTTATCTATTTCAACGTGATATCATACATCCTTATGGAGATTATTGTGTTTTTAAATTTTAAATCGCAAAATACAGCTGAGCTGTACGATATGAGAACGAAGAGTAGCTATTTGTAGTAGAAATATATACTCTTGAAAATATAGGAACGTATCGAGCATCGTAGAAAAATTCACGAAAAATTGAAAGAAAGAGAAAGGGAGAGAGCGGGAGAGAGGGGTAGAGAGGGGGAGAGGGGAAAAGAGAGAGAAAGAGAGAGAGAGAAAAGAATTATTTTCCGGGGTTTGTCGAGGAAGGTACTCGTGTTGCAAGAGATAAACGTAGCACGAGACCATGCCCCCTGACCCTCGCAACTCTCTTCTGCCTGTCACAAATCCGTTCAAACGGCCTGCGAGCTGCGTTATGCTAGAACAGGGGATGGATGGATGAGCGTGTTTGGATACAGGGCTTTGTATCAATGATACCGTTGTATACTCGAGTAATCGGAGCCTGCTTGGCTGGCTGGACGTAGGTGAGGGATTCGTTTCGATGACAGAAAAAGAGGAAGAAGAGAGAGGGAGAGAGGGAGAGAGAGAGAGAGAGAGAGAGAGAGAGAGAGAGAGAGAGAGAGAGAGAGAGAGAGAGAGAGAGAGATAGAGAAAGAATGTCCCTTGTCATTCATTCGTCGACGAAACTAATACAGTTTAGAGAATGTTTGTATTTTTAGGAATTTAGTCTTACGTTTTCTTCATTCAACCTTATCATTAATTTTAGTCTATTTTTATTTTAAAGAAAAAAAGATTAATAGCAATGACATAAAAAATGTAATATTTTTTTCTAAACACAATGAATCATTTAAATAATTTTAGATTATATATGAAACGTTGGTACAAATAAATGATACGTAACATCTACATCCATTAATTATAGTATCTAATAGATCGTAAATAATGATAATATTTTAGCAACGACAATTCTTTTTCGATTATAAAAATAGTTAAGATGAAATCGGAATAAGTTTTCACGGAAGAGGCCGACGAATAGAGGGATGGTTGTGAAGTGTGGCAGGCTTTTACGAGATACAACATTTCTGAAGCAGTAAAGTTCTATCCTGTCAAGCGTTCCCATAAAATCCTTGCTTACTGGCCAGCTAGCAAAGTGACACGCTAGCCTATATGTATGTCTGTGTAAGAGAAAGATAGAAGGAAAACCATGCTATGTGGGTGGTCAAGGATTGCACAGTAGGTGCAAGACAACACATATTTTGTAGTTTTATTTTTTTTCTTTTCTTTCCTTTTTTTTTTTTTTTTTTTTTTCTTTGAATAACGAGCTTGTTGTCAATATAACAATATAACAATATAATTTCTCGTATTACCGATGACGCTTTTATCTTTTTAGGAAAAAAAAAAAAGAAGAAGAAAAGAAAAAAGAAAAAATTAAATAAAATACGAAAAAATAAAAAACGAAAAAATATAGGAGAGATGAAAGTGGAAACCTATCGAACAGAATCTTCAAAAGCATCCAACGAGTGTAACACAATACGTTGCTAAATGTTCGAAGGGGTTGTGACGGCGGTTCGATTGTTCATTTGATTCGAAGGATCATCACGAAATTTATAAAGGTTAGTATAGTATATTGAACACGTTGGATAGCCGACGTAACTTTGTCAGAAATGTGTTCTCTTTGTAATACGAATCTTCGGTCCAGAAAGGAAAACGATGGTGTCACGCACACTATACATAAAACCGTTCGTATTCTTGAACGTGTATTCGTCATTTCTATAACGAGGTAGAATGAGAAGAAAAGGTAGAGAAAGAGAAAGAGAAACATAAAAAGACTTAGAAACCATCAACACCCCTAAGGATTACTCGAGATGCCGTAGGGATCGTTGCCCTCGAAGAAATTGCGAGGGAAAGGAAAGAAAAAGACCCGTAAAGATTTTAAACACGCAAAGCTAACCAAAAGAGACTCTTACTAACCATAAAAATAAAAACTCTTTTAATTTAATATGAAATTTTATCACTTTTCCGATAATTCAAAAAGTACAGTTATTGATTTTACCTTATTTTCTAATTTTAAACAAATTAACAATTTTATTTTTTTCATTATAATATATATATATATTCATTTGAATGACATTAAACGTTATACTAATAATATTTAGGAAATATATTAACTAAACGTACGTCAACGAAGATTATTAAGAGACAACATTGAAATATTATATTTTATGATATTATTATAACGATAGAGGCTCGTCAGAATATAAAAGGAAAAATGAGAAGGAAGAAAAGTGACAGATCATTTAACCCCGTACATCGTAAAAGTGAAAGAGAGAAAAAGAGAGAAGCAATTCGCTAGACCAACTTACTATTCACCCTTCTAGAATTTCTACCCCTTCTACTTGGTCTCCCTTCGATCCTTCCTTCCTTTTTTGACCTTGCTTGACGTCACGCAGTTAACTCACTACTGAGATTACCTGCTTTCATCGGTACGATTCACGTCGTACACAAGAAGATTATTTACCTTCGAGCGAACAAGTTGAAGTTCATACGCGATTTTTTTTTTCTTAGAAATGGACTTTTATATATATATATATATATATATATATATATATATAAAAAAAAAAAATCTATTTGTCGCGTGTCATGAGATAATACGATATCTAAAATGAGTCGTGAAATAAATGTACAATTCACCTGATTAAAGTTGAAAAAAAGAAAATATATTACATCGTATAAAAATCTTTGCGGATTGTTATTGCGAATAAAAACGATTCTCGAAATTGATCTTTCGTTGCCTTTCGTGCAAATCAGATCGGCAATCAAAGAGAATTTCAACGTAAGCAATTAGAAACGAGTTATTTTTTGTGTTCGTAATGACACGAAATGGTATTCATATTCTTTTATTTCATCTTTCAACGAATAAACGTCAAGATAATCTTCGTCAAAAATCTCGCATGTTGCATCTCTTTCGTGACTGATCAATTATTTCTTGTTTTAGCTCGTAGATCTCGACGTAAACGTTTCTAATGTTTATATTAAACAATAAAACAATGTATACCAATCATATGTATATACTTTTTGAGTATTCAAATATATGTTTTTCAACAGAAAATTTGTATTCTTTTATTTAGGTAGATATTTATGTATATAATATTGTTAATTTGAAAGAAATAAAGAAGAATAGTAAAAATGATGCAGCTGCGAGATTTTGAAAGATACGAAATAAAGGATATTAACGATAAATCGATAAAAGTAAATCAAAAGAAAAAAAGAAGAGATCATGTCGTCATTGTTGTCATCATCGTTGTCGTCATCATCGTTGTCATGCTTTTCGTTCTTCCGTTAAAAGCCGTGAATTTTCTTTACGTCTTGCGAATTGTATCGCACGACGAGAGGATCGTAACTTTCGCATCAGTGCCAACGCCGGCGTCGTCCTCTTCGTCCTCGACGTCGATGGCAAACCAGACAAAGGGTGACTCGCGAGAAGAGAAAGAGAAAAGCAGAAAGAACAAGAAAGAGAGAAGTAGCTGGAGAATAAAGACTCGGCCGAGTGACTAACACTAAGGATTCGCATAACTGCCTCGAAGCAACATCGTAAAATTGTAAAAGAAACCTTGGTGGAGGCTACGATCGTGTCTCTCACGCTCGGTTGAACGGTCCCGGACTATCTTACGCTTCCAAGTGGGAATACGATGCATCTTGAAAATGAACAAACGATATTTCTAGCCAAAAGACCTAAGTGAATCCAATTGATGCCATCCCATCAATGAATAACATTCTTTTATAAAGTACTTGTAAAAAGACTTCCATAAAAATTGTGGAATTGATTGATACACTTTCAACCAAAACCGATTAACCGAACAAAAAATCAATTAATAAATAATATCCATTAGTTATTAAATAATTATATTATATGAATACATTTATTTAATTATTTCTTTAATTATTCTCTCCTTATTGTCTAATTGATCGTTCATTAGGCTTCATTGTTTTGAATTTTATGAGATATAAATTATCGATTTCGTTTGGAGAAGACCGATGTCGAACGAATGGAAAAGTAGATACATAAATTTTGCGAACGCGATCGGTAAGATCATCGGTCGAAACTAAGCAACTTCGTTTTGTGGAACGAAAATAAAAGAGATAAATAGGTAGAAACTATTCATTAGAGAAGAAGGAAAGGAAACGATAGAATAGAAAAGAGAGAGCCAAGATGAACATAAAAGAGAGAGAGAGAGAGAGAAAGTAGGTGGAGCAAACAGGGTAAAGAAACAGATAGAGAAAGATGTAATAAAATTCAGTGGAGTCAGCGGTTATAAACTGAATTCTTTGGATAAGCCAACTCAGAGAAGCCGAACGATTTCACAATCGAAGAGCGAAGTGTGAGAGAAGAGGGAAAAGAAAGTAACATACTAAACTTGCCGATGAGTTTGAGCTATCATATAAATATATAAAAGTCTCATATACATATACACAAACACGAGAAAAAAAAAGAACTTGGTTATGTATATATATATATATATATATATATATATATATATATATATATATATATATGAATAAACGAGTCTTACAATTTTTCTTTTAAAAATTCATCCGAGCAATCGGCAGATAAAATGCGAATTCTTCCATTTTAAAAGCGTCGCTGTATGCAGGATTCGATTAAGATAAATTTAAGTAGAGTCCATTAATTCATTTATATTTTAAAATATACTTAAATCATTCGTCGTTAATGAAAACCGAGTATTTTATCTCTAATAACATTTACATATCTTATTAATTAATCAATCCTTGATTCATTTATTCGTTTGACTTTAATGTAAAATTATTTTTAACATTTTTTAATTGCCACTATATACATCTTTCTAAAAAAGAATATATTTTTTCGATTTTTTCGAGTAAAATTTTTCAAGAGCCAAACATTGACAAATTACTTTACATTATTAAATTATTATATTTTAATATGTGATTAATCGCTTATCATAATTAATTAATGTGAAGTGAAAAACTTATTATATAATTAATGGCTTTGATATTACTACAGTTCAATGAAATTCTTTTACATAATACATTCTGACATCTGTTTGACCAGAACGATAACCGAAGGGTCTAATCCTTTAAGATCTTGACCTACCCTTGAACACACTCGTGAACTCTCTAACGTTCGTTACCTAACTCAAGATGATCGTAAATACTATACTACCTCATGTTACCATGTGACCTCAAAAACGTTATGCTATCGTATCGTACAGCACTAAACGCTTACATTCTCTCCCTTTCTTACTTTTCTCTCTTCTTCCTTACTTTTTTCTATTTTTTTTTTTTTCTTTTTTTTCCACAGAAAGTGTCATATAAAACGGACTAGAAATTTCGAAAGTTAACCGTCTGTCAACGAGAAGCCGTCGTCTCGGTAGTAAAACAGGAAAAAAGGGAAGCCGATCATGAGATTTTCAGTGATTTACGAGCGAGCCTTTTTCGAAGATCGAAGAATGAAAAGAGTGGTTGACTAAAGTAAAACTTTCTACGATAATTTTAAGAGAGAGAGAGAGAGTACGAGAATGGCAGCTTTTCTGATTTAACTAATAATAGCCTGAGCTAGAAAAACGATTGGATGTTATTAAGTAAATGTTATGTACAAATATTTCTTTTTATTTCATTTACGCAATAGAAAGTAAACGTCATGCATTTTTTAAACGCGTATTTTCAAGAAAAAACATAAAAGGTAAACACGTTGTTAAGTAAAAATGATAAATATTTTTGGTCGAATAAAGAAAAAAACGTAAGACAATGTAATAATAGTAATCGATTGTTACTTGTGTGTATTATGGCGTATAAATAGGTAAGAAATAAATAATTTAATTAGATTAGATAGAATGAGAAAGAAAAAAAGAAAAAAAAATAGAACTTCCAGATAAGATGAATTATTTCACGATTAGGAGAAAAGGTGGTGAAGTAAAAAATTTTGTGAGACTTATCGAGCACTCGACAGATTAGTAATAATGTACAAATATGAGTACGTTTTCGCGAAAGCAACACTCGTTGCATAACAACGAACGACTTTCGCATTATTAAAAGCGCCTACTCGATGCCTCGAAATGCAAGCTCGTAAATGGAAACTTTACAGTCCCATATACTTCACCATAATCACCCCTTACGTTCTCAATTCTCCTTCTCTCCTCTACGACCACACCATTCTAGTATTAGCGAACTTTTAAGTTAACTGCACACACATACACACATCCAATTATTATATGCACGTAAGACCTGGCACACGTCAACGTTAAGCGTTCTTTCCTTTTTTCCTTGCTTCTTTTTTCGACGTATTATCGATGTTCGCGTCGATATATTTTCCCACTACTACTACTACTACTACTACTACTACTACTACTACTACTACTACTACTATTACTACTACTACTATTACTAATAGTACTGTTACTACTATTACTACTAGTATTAATACTACTCCTACTACTTTTATTACTACCAGTATTAATACTACTACGTTTGTCTGACGATGTCAAGAACGGAACGTTGAGTCCGCCGCATTAATTCCATCATCGTGAATCCGTAGAAATGCGTGGACTGTAAATCAATTAGCCATTTACGAGCGTTCCTGTGAACGGCTATCATAAACTCTCTTTGGATAACTAAGTTAAAGACCGAAAACAAATCAAATGGAAAAAATTTTGAAAAAAGTTTTACGAATGATCTGCTTACTTTTTTTAGTACTTCAGGAATAAACTGATATTTTCATTCGCAAATTAATAAAACTTATAAAGTGAATCTGTAAAAATTTTATTTCTTAATTACAGCTACGTTTGATATTTTGTTGAGTTAATCAGATTATTTTCAACAAATTTTCGAACACTTCAGAGAGATTCGTAAAACTTTTCTAATTATTAAAAAGAAAAAGGATGTTCAACGAAGGATACTCATCGATAGCTCTCAATCGTAATAAAAAGTTTTTTGATCGTCGACATAAAAGGACTAAGATAATCTCGTTGGAAAGAATTTTTTCGAAAGAAAATGCCATAACATTGTGGTTAAGCCATTGTCGAATATGAGTTCTGTCACCTCTTCGAGAGGTCATTTATATGTCCGTGAACAAACTATTTCGACCGAGAATGAGCAAAATAACGATAATTTTTAAAAACGAGCCTGCTCGTAAAAGCAAAAATCGAGGCTCCTAGGTTTCGGCTTTGGTTATAAGTTGGTATTATATTAACCGTCTACGAACGACTTCGCAACCAATGAGAACGCTCGTAAAAGCAGGGTTAACATTCGGTCGGGTTGTCAAGTGAAAGAGTGGCTTGAATTTCGTTGGGATCACTGTGAACGACGTTATAAGTGTGCGCACCCTCGGCTCGGTCGCACGAATCGAACGTGGCTTGGAACTTCCGCTCGAATTATAATCGATTGTGCACTCTTCAGGATCTCCTTTTATTGATATAGATCATCCTAAATCTCTCGATCTTCTCGTAATATATTTAACGTATCGATCATCGAATTAACGATTTTTCTTTACTTTTCAGAATAGATATTGTCATCAAAGTTGACGGATCATTTGCAATTTATCAAAAAGATTTTGTAAACATAGCGAGAATTAATAACAAAGTGATAATAAAGTAGACTTACTAGGTTGTGGTTGAATCTGATGAATCGAAGAAGGCAAATGCGTATCTACGACTGGCAATTTTCTTGGAGTTGGAGTATTAAGTACGCCATTGATGCCACCGTAACTGCCTTCGATGTTCCACGCTGGTTGAGGAACAGTTGGTACATGCTTGTTTTCTACTGGAGGCATCGCTGGCATCACCAACTGCAAATTAACGAGATTACGATCTCTCGAGACCGCCTTTGATTCGGCTTAATATTTTTCATGGTTAATTAATATTGCTTTTTATTAGAAATTAACTTTTTATTTAAAATGAAATTTTATAGATAAAAAATATTATATAAAAAATATAAATTATCTTACTTACCTTGCCATACTTTCTTATCTGTTCCTCGTCTTGTATAAGAGCCCTTTTAAGTGCGGTTTGTTTTGCCATTTGCTTTTGCCGCTTAAGCGTGTTACGGCATTTGGGGCAATGACAGTAAATAAAGTCGCAGTACCTCTTGTGACCCTTAAGAATGCTAGTAACATCATGATTACGGCAACGTGTGCACGTCGGTTTCGTACGTGAATTGGTGCCGCTGTTCGAGGTTGAGGATGCGTCCCAAGATGCATTTGAATCCGCCCCTGAATTTAATTTCATTGACATTAATTTTATTGTCGACTTTGTTTCTATCAATATTAACTTATTCTATATAATTTTCGTAGATAAAAAGTGAATATTATACGTTTCTCTACGCATACAATCTATATAAAGGTATTTATACATATACATATAATTTAGATGCGTTTTACTGCAAAAAGAACCAAATATGAGTACTTGCTCTTATATTATAATCCTCTTTGATGTTTCCCAATATTAGATAATCTTAGTTATACTAGTAATAATAATAATGAGATCAATTGTTATACATAAAAACAATTGCTTTATCCGAACGTTACCGTACGTTATTTAATATTTTCGCTATTCTATGAGAGAACAATTTCGAAAGATCAAATAAAACGATTTAATATCTTTCATAACACTATAAATATGGATATAAAAATGCAACGTTATTATTCTATACGAACTAAACCATTCCTCGTACTATTTATCGCGCTTAATAATATTTTTTCTTTTTTTTAAGACTCAAAGATGATCGAAATAGATTAAAAAAAATAAGCTGATTGAATGTGGAAAAAATGAGAAATGAACGAAGTCAAGTCCATATTTGAATGTGAACAAACAAGACGGCCGTTGTTCATCGAATAATGATGATCTTTCAGTTGAGATCGACCAACGTTACAGGATATTTTCTATATGGCAATTCACCAAAGATATCAAGTGTTTATAAAATGGGTACGTTTAATTTGAAACATGCAAATACCAATTTATAAGTTGAATAAATTATATCTTACGATTCTGACTTATACGTAAGTATATATCAGAGGTATAAAATTTATGCATTTGCCCTTATCTAACATTTCTTTTATCGACTTAAAGAAATTGATAAAATTTAGCCTAACATTTTAAGATCACCCTATACAACGATGGATTTGCATGAAAGTAATAAATCATTTTAACTAAAACCCTTTGAATACTATCTCCTTTGTTCTTGAAAGATTGCAGTGAAAGTAGTCTCGTTATCGCCGTCGTTATAATTTATTTTATAATAATTTTACTTTATTACTATTCTGCATAACGATGTGACTTATTGAAAAAATTTTTTTCACAAAGGCATTTCGACGATTTTCGAACGTTATTGTTAAATATATATATCCATAAAATCGATAGAATTATTTTCGTTGTTATATTTACAAAAAGACAAATAATAATTATCGATAAGATAATATTGTAATTAATCAAAAATGTTTCCGGCTATGTGTCCATTTACCGAGCATATTAAAACGTGAAGAATCTTACGAGGAACAATTATTTTCCTAAGGCGGTAAGAAACTTGATAATAATCGTAAGAGTATGGTATCTCACTTAAAAGAAATTGTACCTCTTAAATGGCCGGTTAGTATCTACACTGTAACATTCTTCCAGGAATGAAGGACGAAACGCAAAAAAAAAAACAAAATAAACGAGAAAGAAAAAGAACGAAATAGCAGTCCGAGAAACAAAGATGGATGGTCTTTATAAGTCTAACAGCATTCTACTACTATTTTTATAAATCGTAACGCCGACGAAACAAGAAGTATAAAAGAAAGAAAATGAAAGAGATAAGAAGGAAAATAAGGACAGAAGATATTAATCGAAACGAGAAGTCGTCTCTGTCATTATTTATCATTCATATCCGCGAACGGAAACGAGAAAAGGAAAATGTTGCATGAAAAATATGAGGAAAATGAAGAGAAATGAAAAAGATTGGTTGAGAAAGAGAGATAGGTTGTCGATATAAAAATGTTCCCTTAATTCTATTTTCCAATTTCTTTTTCTTCAACTTTTTGATTTATTTATTTTTTTTTTTTCGAATTACTTTCTCTATATCATATACTAAATATATTCCTAAGTTTTTAATCAAATAATCAAATATTTAATGCCAAAGAAAGAATTGATTTAACTTAATTGAAAGTTTCTTTAATTTGGAACACGTGAAACATTTTCGTGAACTGACGCATCTATGTGTTCATAACTTGTCTCGACCTTTCTTTCATTAAAAGTTTGCTAATAATTTTTCCTAATAGAGCCTAATTGACGGTACGAGGGTGTATTTGACAGAAAAAAAAAGAAATGTAAAAATATAATATAATTAAAAATTTATATATAATTACATATGCATGAACGAATAGACTCTTCTGAAAAGTTGTAATTCTCCTATTGCCCTGACATATACTTATTTAATTACATATTAACACATATCGACGTGTGGTTAAATTTATGTTCAACAAACCGTACGCGTCGCTAGCAATTTTACTACGATAGAAAATAGTTATAGGGAATGTACATAAAATCAATGTATAAAAATGATTTCCTTGGAAAATGCTTAGATCGCTATAATGATCAGTTCTTATCTGAGAATAATCATTAATAATTTGTAAAATAATCATTAATATAATCGTTTGACTTTAATCATCGGTATAATTGTATCCAAAGACCATTAAATTTTTATCTCGTTAATCATCGATCGATCATATAAAAACAACTGTAAGCTATTTATAACATATTTACGCGAATAGAATATCATGGGTTTAAAATATTTTATTTTTTTCTTCTTTCTTTATTTTTAGCGATAATATTGTTTACGTTGGTTAATAAAGAGAAAGAAAAAAAAAAGAAAAAAAAGAAAGAAAGAAAGAAAAAAAAATAAATAAAAAAGAAAAGAAGAATGCAAAAGGAAAAAAATCTTCATTCATGATAAGTTTTAAAATGGAGTAAGGAGAAATGCGAGAGGAGACAAGCTAAGCGAGGAAAAAAAAGCAAATAAATGAATCAGAGCGTGCAACAGGTAGGTAATCTCTTGCTTTGCAACCTATATGTGTATATTCATCAATAAGCAGGTGCACGATAATAATAAATGGATGAGAAGGTAAATTAAACAGCTCTGCCATGTTATGGCGGACATATGAATTTGAGAAGAGAAGTTAATTAAGGAAGTAACGCGCCAAAAGGTCTGGAATTTCGATGCGAGTCTTCAAGTCATTACATATACTTCGCTATGTTATTTCCGAATACGAGATAGTTTTCCTTTTTTTTTTTTCTTTTTTGTCTCTCGTCGAATACAAAGAGAAAAGAAAAATTTCTATTCATCTTTTGTCTATCTTACGATTTTTCCAAGAGGAAAAAGAAGAAAAATTAGAAGAAAACATTTCGTTATCATTGAAAAAGTTCTAAATCAATATAAGAGGGAGAGGGAGATAGATAAATAGAGAGAGAGAGAGAGAGAGAGAGAGAGAGAGAGAGAGAGAGAGAGAATGAGAGTAGGTTTAAATTAATATAATTTAACAGATTAAATGGGTTTAATATGGTAAAAATACCAAACATATAAGCAAAAGTAAAAGAAACAAAGAATATTACACGATGATTTATCGCGCGTAAACGAATAAACGAGCATAGAAAAATGAAAAGCACCATAGAAAGATAATAAAGAGGGTGTACAATTAAGTGCTAATCGTTCATGCGTTTCTGGAGAGGAGCCAATTGTTCACATTGAAACAATCGAGAACCGACACTTCAAATTCGTCATGCCAAAAACCTTCTGTCTGTTGTCGCTAAATGTTATTTTTTTGCAATCACAATGGCATCGTACATAAAAACAAATCAAAGAGATTAAGTGAAAACAAAGTTATAATCATTTGAAAAAAGATATAGGAAAAATATTAAAAATAAATAGCATGATGATATTTTGTTAATAATCATGGTCGCATAGTTTATCGTAATTAGTTCACACAATAGAACGAAATTTTGGCCTTGAGCAAGAATGTCCAAGTTTTCGTTCAATGGATGCTTTCTTCTGTAAAACCACGATCAAATTCCGGGAAACGGCATTCAAAAAGAGATCTTTTGAAGGACGACCGGTTGAATGTACAGGGTGTCTGCAATGAAACACTTTAAATTTTGTTATGAAATAAATAAGTAAATCAAGGCGTTTTATTGTAAACACCATGTACTCATTGTTTAATTTTTAGCGTAATATAATGATTAAATAATATCCAAATAATAACGCTATGTTTAAAATCGTTATCGCTTTCTTCACATCGTATCGATTTTTATTAGCATTTCCCTATCGTTCCTCATTTATATTTCGAACGTTAATTATAATCGATTAATGAAAAATATGATAGTTGAGATAACTTATTGATGAACTTATTGAAGATACCTGTTTCTTCATTGCTCGGATATATTTCATTGTTGAATCTTTTTGATGAATAAAAAAAATTAAATAAGTAAATTTCATTTGAACTCACCGGCCTGCCATTGTGGCCAGGACGTTGTGGCTGGCGAACGATTTGAAGACGGTGCCTTTTTTGAGGAAGCAATTCCGGCAACGTCGCTGTTCCCGTCCTGAGTTTCGTTGCTTCCGTGATTGCTGATTGGTGAGTCGCCACTGCTGCTGTCGTAACTTCCCTCGAGATTCTTCACCGATTGCGGACCTGAACCGAGCGAGGATCCATCTATGGAGAGTGATGTTGAATCCTGTCAGTGGAAAAAATCGATCGCTGAGAGAGACGAACAAATGAGTTCGGGTTAATTAGTTTCAACTCGTAAAAAAAAAAAGAAATACTTTTTAAAATTTTATTTAGGAATGATTCTATTATATCTTCGAATATTACTTTGCTAAGAAAACATCTAAATATAATACGTAAACTTAATCGATCTCATATCTCTGACGATTGAGAAACGATTAGAAGATACTCGTTGAATAACAATAAGTTATTATAAGTAATAGAAAAAAAAAAAAACGAAGAAAGAAAATAGAAAACATTTGATAAAAGATATTCTCTAACCTCGTCTTGAGCCATAGTTCTTCTCATTTCATTATGCCGGGCCATCATGCTTCGTCGATCGGAAAAAAGTTTACAACGTTCACAGACGCAATCGCGGTACTTACAATCTTTTCCATGGCCCTTCTGGGCAATTTTTTGTCCATGATTTCGACATCGCGAACAATTCCTCGTTATTCGCGAACCTACAGACATGTTCGAGGACGCGTTATTCTCCGTACGTGCACTTGATTGATCCACGTGATCCATTCTAAACTGACAGTGAATCACAGGACAACACCTGGACTCATCGACCCAACTTGCCTGTCACATTATTTTCTCGATATTTGTTTTTCTTTCTCTCGATGCACTTCTCTTTCTTCTCCTCTGCCACTTTCTTTTTTCTAACTCTTCTGCTTCATTATCTTCACCGATTCGTTCGAATTTAAAATAATTCCGAACTTTCAAGCGAATTCGTCGTCGTTTATAAGCACTAAATGATTAATATTTCAGAATGTCCACGGGACACCATCGATCCTTGCTGTCTTCTCTTCGATCTGAAACAAATTCGAGAGATTTTTCATATAATTCGTTATCGGCGATATCTTCCAACTAATTATCGATTTTTATACAATTCTTTTCAATGAATAAATTATAATAAAAATAATAATAAATTATAATAAAATTTTAAAAATTATGAAAAAGTAAAATTTTCAACTATCATCTATTTCGATTACGATTCCTTCTTTTCGGTTCCCATATTGATTTTATAATTGTAATCTTTTCAATTATATTTAATATATTGGTTTCGAAACGATTCCAAAATCCATTCTTGTTTCAATTTTTCGAAATATTAACCTACATATTTTTAATCAAATCATTATAGAAAAATGAGAAACATTCATACATATCATTGTTTCTATAATTCATTTTATTATATTTTTTTATATTAAATATGATATAAAATGAAATAAATGTTTAAAATAAAAAATCGAAATTTCATTTTATTAACTTCCTATTCTGTATAATATAGCATTTGTGAGAGTGTAAAAAAATATGTAGCTCCTTTATTTATTTCTAATGCTTTGTTAGAAATCAATGATATGTACAATTATTTTTCCTTTTTCTATAATAATTTTGTAAAAAAAAATATTGATATATACAATAATCTGCAATTGGAATGATATCAATAACGGAAAAATCGAAATAAGAATCGATTCTAGAATCGTTTCAAAAGCAATATATAGAATCGAAAAAGTAACGATTATGGAACATATATGAGAACAGAAATACGAATCGTAATCAAAACATAATAATAAGAAATTTTATAATGGAATCTTCATAATGGTTATTAAAAATAAAAATTCTTCATAATTGTTTTACTCAAAATCTTTATATAACAAACAATTATTTTCTATACCGTTTGAATAACTCAGCTGACAGTCTAATTTTATTTGAAAGCTCAATCGAATAATTGAATTTGACGGGAAAAAATTCAAAATATATAAACATAATTACTTGTATCTCGATATTATTATTACTGATTATAGAACATTCGTAACGTTAGGCACTATTAAAACGTATCGAAGAAATAACAAATCGTTATCGTCGTTCAACAAGAAAAATTTTTGATAAATTATAAATATATCGAATATCAGTATTTAATGTACTTTTGACTTTATGTTCGTTTAATCCATCTGTTTCAAGAATGATGATCGTGCCAAAGACTTGCTAATACATCATATACTTATATTTTTTCAAATGGTAGAGTTCATCCCGAAAAGTACATTAAAAAAAAAATAAAAAAAAAAAAAAAAAAAAAAAAGAAGAGTATTTAAACATTTGAGTAAAATGAGAAGTATGATTTATGAATGCTAAGTACATACGTTCATTTTTCATAACTTCAATTATGCATGACATGAATAGGCCAAAAGAAATTTGCAGCATTAAACAAAATATTCAAAGTTAAAGAGATATTAATAAAGTCATAGAAAACAATAGCCGTATTTTGAGGGGAAAGACTATTGTGAACATTTGAAAAAAATTTTTTTTCTTTTTGCATTTCTTAAAAGTATATATTATCAAAATTGTAAGTTAAAATTCTGAATTAGTGGAATTAATGGGTATTAAAGTTGGACCGATACTTCACTCGTACTGCGTTGAACGAGACATGAAGCAGATGAAAATTGCGAAGAATTGCATGAATAAGGTCCATAAAAAAATCAAAAAAGACAAGGACAACAATGAAGATATTGATGAAGAGCCATCATATGATTCACGACTCAATAATTTAATGCAAATATCAATATTTTAGAAAATATATAACTTTATACCAAGAAAAACGTAACGAATACTTTCAATGCGTATTTCTTGACACGATTTTTTTCAAAACGAATATTCGAAAACTTAATCGAGTCGATTTTCAATTTTGTTTTTTTTATATTTGTAATTATAGTGGTTGTACGTAGCTGATTTCAAAAATTTTAATAATTACTATTTTCACAAATTGTTTGAATAAAAAAAAAGGAATTTAAAAATAAAAAAAAATTCAATCGCCTTTTTGTAAATAATCAAAAAAAAAACCGCTAAGCATAAGGATAGCTACTCGTATCGATATTGATAAAATTTTATTTTTTATTTTCAGATAACCCTTCAGCGAGATATCAATGCCATAATGGAGGGGAAATATTTTTTTAGTCATTAAATCAAGGCTCATATCTTTGTTAATTTTAAAACACTTTTAATAAAAATTTATATGAAATAAATTTAATATACATTTAATAAAATAACAACAATTAGATCTCTTTATTAATTAATTATTCCAGTGAAAAAAATTCTTAGAAATCGATTATTTTTTCGGCCTTGTCACAGTGGCCTTCCCCCTTAAGGATAATGTAATATAAATCATTAGCATATATAATGACGCTAACATTGAGAAGTTTCGATTTCTTTCGTCGGAAAATTTCAACTCATATATTATAGAACTTATGAACAATTTTCGATGGCATATAATTCTAATGTAAATTAATAAACTTATTAATCCTTATTTTTAACCCTTTTTTTTGCGATTTCGAGTAACATTCAATAACGATCACTCTTTCTTAATGATTGATATTTAATAAGAATAATTCGAAAAGACGCGGAAGAAAAAAGGAAATAAAAGTATTTCGATTTTGCTTTACGTCTAATAACTTAACGTATTTGATGATTAATCTTTTTTTTTTTTTATATAAGAAAATAAGAAAGAATAAAAAAGAAAAAGAAAAATAAAGAAATAAATATTATTTGAATAAAAACATTGCGTTTTATCGTTTGTTCCAAGGAAATATATTACTTGTATGATTTAAGTTTATAAATAGAGACAAAGAGAGAGAAAGAGAAAGAGAAAGAGAAAGAGAAAGAGAAAGAGAGAGAGGGAGAGGGAGAGAGAAAAAAACTAAGGCGGGATGAATTATTTGGTCGAAGAAACCGACATCAATGAAGTCGTGGTGGTATAAACGCTTTTTCCGACACAAAGGCTATATTAATTTCACTTATGATGCAAGAACAGGAAAACGGCGGCGCCAAGCATCGTGTGAAACTTTATCGACTGATCGATCCGTAATTCATCTTCAAATAGCATTTCCAAGCTAGTAAGTTATTCACGAATAATCGATACAAGCAAACGGCAATGCATTTCTTGCTACTAAATATCACATAATCAATCCAGAAATATTAAGTCATAAAGTATTGGCAATCGTATGATTGCTAGTCTATAAAAATGAAAATATAAAAGAATCTGCATATTTATAAGACAATATAACAATCAAATTGTTTTACTTTGAATGGACAATTATGCGATTACAATAATTTTCAATATAAAATTCTATATATTTTCCTTTATTTATTTTTTTTTTCTTTTTATTTATTTTTTTTTTCAACTTCCATGAAGACAAATATATAAAACTTTTTTTGACGTTAAGAATATAGAATTTTCTTGTCGATACAGTAGTGGAAAATAACTAAGAAAAAGAACTGATATAGAATAGTTTATATATAGATCAACTGATTTTTCTTGCATAGCTTATCTCACTATTCTCGTAAAAAAAATGTTTTCACTTCACCCGTCGAGACTACGATGAAAAGATAAGAGATCAAGACTGACCAAAACAAATCGGCAAACCAAATGTATAATATATGATCCTCGAAGAATATCTAATAAATGTAAATTATATGTATATATATTTTAATATTGTAGCTACTTGGTCGATCCATATGGAAATATGTGAATATCATTAGGTTTCATACTAAAATTTGCTATCGTATATTATATAAAAAAAAAAAAAAATACGCGAGCACGTAAATGAGTGATTTTGGGAATTAAGAGTAAGTAAATTAACCAGCTTATCCAAGTTAATTATATAAATTTAATTATGATTTGTTTGGAGATATTAAACAGCTTTAATTTTACATTTATTTATCATTTCCAACATTAAAAATAGAAACGCAAACGTTATAATATTGTTGTGCTCGTCGTTTATATGAATGCAACATTAATGATTGCTAATTTTCGAACTTTGTATCCTCGGTTATCGTCAATTGATTTGAAAAAAAGATTTCTGTTTTCACATACTAGCTCGCTTTTACAATGTCATATTTCCTTGGCCTTTAGACCTAGACGGCTGTGTTATCTGTTTTCGCATCTAACGCATGACAACATTTTAACACGTTCGATGCTACACCAACCGTGACACGTAATCGTGGTTATAAAATTTACTAAATTAATTACTATAAGTCAAATGGTATCAAACAAAAAAATTTTAAATAATCCAAATAACTCTAAATAATAAATAACAATAAAATAAATAGTACGCTGCTCAATAATTAATAATTGTTATTAACAATTTTAATTTCTGCTATAGAATAAATAATAAAACTATGAAAATAAAGAGAACTTAAATTTATATATTTTTTAATATATAATTATAAAATATTATTTTGAATATTATTGATCAATTAACTCATTTTTTTTTTTTTTTTTTTTTTTTTTTTTTTTTTGTTAAAAACAGAATATGTTCGACAAAATTCAAAATCATTACAATTTTTACAATATGTTGTTACTTTCTTTATACAATTTTTTGCTACTTTTCTATCGATAATTTAGCATTTTTCATTGCTTAATTTCAAATTGTTAAAAGGAAACAAATACTGAAACTGTCTAAAATATTTAGAGTCGTAAAAGAAAAAGAGGACTACAATATCTATGAGTGCTTTTTTTTCTTAAAATAATATGGAAAATAAAATAATATAGAAAAAGTACGAAGATATAAAAATAATATCATTGATATTTTAAATGTCACCTGCACTGGCAATCATTATTGTCAATTATTATAATCTCATTGAGAAGCATACTATAAAAGAATACCACATTTAATTAATTCAGATCTTATTACTTCTGTGAATTTATTATATACAAAATATGTTATAATTAATGGACGATAGAAATAAAACAAATTTACACTGATTACCAATTATGTATCAAAAAATAATTGTTCACATTTTTTAATGATTAAGAATAAAATTAATTAACAAATTTTTACAATATATGTTTATATTATCAATAATATAAAAGCCATATATTATTTATTTCTAATATCTCAATAAACTTCTACTATTTTTGTTCAATCATAAAGAAATTTGGTGTAATGTTCTTTTTGATCCGACGTAAAGTTTAGATTACTTAACTTGCGAAGATTAAAAGCAGTTTACAAGACTTTTGAGAGAGACAGAGAGAAAGAAAAAGAGAGAGAAGGAAATTATAAAATTGATCACAGACGGATGACGCGATGGTAGTTCTACGGATCTTGGCGTATAGAAGTTGAAAAATTTTATATTGCAAATTCGATTCGTGATTTTTAGAAAAAAGATTTGTCAAATGTGTTAAATATATTTTTTGTACTTTTCCAAACAATTAATGACAATAATGCAAATATTTGTCATATTACTTCGAGAAAAAGAAATACAACAACATATTTTCTTTAAACCATAATTATATGTCATGCTTTGCGGGAGAAAGAAATATACTAGTTTCTAACAGAATGAAAATGGAATAAATATTCCGTTCATTTCACGTCGATAAAGCTAATGTAAACGAATTGTAGAAAGAAAAGTAAAGGTGCTGTTGATTGTCTTTCGATCGATATTTTACCAAGACGGTGAAGTTTCAATAAAAAAAAAAAAAAAAAAAAAAAAAAAAAAAAAAAAAAAAAAAAAAAAATTTACTTTCAAAATTCACAGTGCGTTTTACATTATAACTTTTCTTTTTCAAGTGAACAAAAAAAAGGAAAAGAAAGAAAAACGATCATTTAAATTCACATTTTTTTGTGACCGTATCGATAATTGTCTGTTTTCATAGCACGATAGGTTTCGTTTTAAAATCAAAAGGGATAACTTCATCATAGCTGACATAGAACACGTCATTTCATTTCAAGAATCAAGAAGGCGATTCATGTAATTACAAGTGAACTATCTATAAAATGAAGAACTGTCTCTCTCTCTTTCTCTTTCTCTTTCTTATTTTTACACAGCTACGTACGTAGCTATAACTGTCCTCTTATCGATTGCCTTTAATACACCTATTTCCTAACCCCTATTGAATTGAAGAATCCTTCCCCCTTCCCCCACATTTGATCGGTCCCCAATGATATTCTTTCCTCTTTTTCTTTTTTGTAGTGCCTCGGTCTACCATTTCGAGGGAAACGTAAGGCGATACCTTTTTCTTCAATGATCTTCCTCTTCGATTATTTAATAGCACTCGAAATTTCTTAAACCTTAGAAATAATCAAGTTGTTCTTTTAAAAATTAAAAACGAAAAATTTTATTTCCTTGATACAGTGAAACGTTAAACTATGAGTTAGATCATTAATTATAATAAAGATAATATATAATCAAGCTAATATCTTTAGACATATATATATATATATATATATATATATATATATATATATTTCGCATACTTAATTATTATTATATTATACATTATTTTCAAGGAGAAAGTCTAAGTTCGAAGTGCATATCATCTGTGTACGTAATGTTACATTTAATAGCATAGAATTCATGCAAAAGTTACATCATTATATAATTATCAATAAGACTTAGATATAACATATGTATTAATAATTTACTGCTTTTTGATGATGAAAATAAAACTCGATCGTTTAATTGGTGATCATTAAGTTTTGAATTAGCTTGAGATTTTGTGATTTTTTACTTGTGAATTTGAGAACTTCTTTATCTGCCGCTTTATTGGTAAACTTTGTTTTAAAAAACTTCAAGATATTTAAATCATCGAATTTGACAATTTAAAGGAAATAGAGAATTTTTTTATTGCTCTTGAAAATGAACATCGTGGCTAGCTTTAAAATGTTATGTTTTGACAATAATCGATTTATCGAGCGTGCATTAAAAATTTTTCAACATTTCTGTTGATTTTGTAAAATAAAAATCGACCACTATATATATATATATATATATATATATATATATATATATGTATGTATATATATATATATAATACTTTGATGATAACATTTTTAAAACAACGACTTTTCTCAATCGCGAATACGATCGAACATTGCAATTGTAAAATAACATTGATGATGAAGCAAAACCGAGGGTTATGTAAACCAGTGTCATAAAATTTCGATCTAATCGTAGGTAGTTGGGAACGAAAGAGGAAGAGAAAAAAATAAACGAAGAAAGAAACGCATATATGTGTACATGCACGCAAAGGAAAATAGATAAAAAGATAAAAAAAAAAGAAAAAAAAAAAAAGAAACAAAGAAACCAAAAATAACAAAATGATAAATTCGTCAAGAAATTTCTATGGAATGGAGAAAAAGTGGAATGATTATTTGAGATATTCTAATTTTGAAGCTATTTCGAACGAAGAATTGAAGCCGTAAAAGAACTTAAAGTTAATGCGAAGACCTTTCTTTTTCGAAGAAAGAGAAAGAGAACGAGAGCGAGAGAGAGAGAGAGAGAGAGAGAGAGAATCGAGATCAAAAACAAGTTCAAGAGCATGTCATCGTCCTCGAGACCGTGACACGAACGAATCGATTTAGGAGCCCGAACTTTAAACCCGTACGATTGGATCGATCAGAAGTGTTTCGATAAAAAGTTTGTTAATAAGAAAGAAAAAAGAAAGAAAAAAGAAAAAAAAAAGAGACAAAGGTAGAATTTTATGTTCTTTGATCATATTTTTATCAGATTGTATTCTCCAACTAGTACCTATCTTTAACTATGGAATAGCGTATTAACAAGTATTTTTCCTTTCGAAAAAACATTAGAGTCGCAAGAGTATCTTTCTACTACGTATCATCGTTCGATATTTCTTATCGCAAACAGACGATAGATCTTTATAAAAAAGTATCTTTTCCTTTTTTCTAACTCATTGCTAATCTTCAAAGATATCATAACATTGCTTTAAATATAATTTAGTAATGGCTATTACGATTTTGTGCAATACGATGATAAAAGGATAAATAAAGAAAATAAAAATGATAAAAGGATAAAAAAAGAAAAAATATATGAATAAAAATATTAGGATTAATAGCAGCAATTAATTGTAACGGTAATGATAGATAATATATATATATATTAATATATATATATTAATGAATGAACGATAGTTAAGATATTAATATAAATTGACATTACCAATGTCATTTAATTATAACGATGATCATTATGGTAATGAATATGATGATTATGATAACGATTTCGATGATTATCATAACGAAATTCTAGAAGTTCTTTAGTAAAGTAGAAACGTACGGGAATGGATATAATTAAAAAAAAATAAATAAATAAATAAATCAATCAATCAATCAATCAATCAATCAATCAATCAATAAATAAATAAATAAAAGGAACAAAAGAAAATGAATGATACTTTAGCTCTTGCAAAATTCAACCTTCAACAATAATCGAATATTCTTACTGAAGACGTATTTACGATTTATGTGGCACGCGCACTCCATTTTAGTGGTTATCACGCGCGCGCATCCGACGGTAGGCGCACACTGAAACCAAATATGTATACCAGAAAAAAGTCTTTGAAAAAGATTGACTTTACAAAATAATTTACGTATCGTATTTAAACATTATCTTATCTATTATTACTTTTAATATTTATATTGACTCGTTTTCTTGGCACGATTAATCGATATTCCAAACGAAACGTTTTACTTCCGCACAATTCATAAATCCACTTCCTCTTATTACTAGTTATTTCTTTAAAAACAAAACAAAAAAATATAATACGACTCGATAATGAATCGCGTAGAATTTAATGATATAATTAAACGTAATATCCACTACGTAAATTTTATTAATATTGCGCGATATATAAAGAAAATAAATTTATAATTGGATTATCTAACTGTAAAATGAAAATGGCACTTACCGTATTTTTGCATAGCGCATTTCACAGCGTGGGCAGAAATGTCTGATATGACTGAAATATCCTATAACTACTTCTGTAAGTCGAAAAAAAGAAGAAGGATAAAAAAGGGATATAATATATACATAAATGAGAGAGAGATAAAGAGAAAGAGAAAGAGAAAGAAAGAGAGAGAGAGAGAGAGAGAGAGAGAGAGAGAGAAATATCAACTACTCCGCCACGCGCACTCGACACCTTTCGTTCTTTCACTATCGAGATAGAAACAGAGATGAATGATGCTCGTCTTATCTCTTCCTCACTTTCAATCTTTTCCCTCGTCACAATTCAGTTTTTCTCTGATCTCTTTTACAAAAACACCGTGTCATTCTTATTTCTGACGCACTCAGTTCTTTAAAATTAAATAAAAGAAATCACGAAATCTGATTTCCAACCTTGTATTAGAAAGAAACACGATACGCAAAAGCACGGTTCACATAGAACACTCCATAATAGAAAATGGATGAAACACAGATAAAGAACGAGAAAAAGAGAGAAAAAGAGAAAGAAAAGGAGACAGAGAGAGAAAGAGAGAGAGAAAGAAAGAGAGAGAGAGAGAAAGGGGAATGAGCAAAAAAATGTGATCGACGAAATTTCACGCGCGAGATAGATCGTAAGTTTACGATGAAGTAGTGTGCGAACGTGGAAAAATGGAAAAATAGAATTGGAAAAAAGAATATATTAAGGCAAGGACAGAATATTTATGAGTTAAGTAAGCGTGAGAGAGAAAGGAAATAGGAACGGATAAACAGCAGCAAAGTGATACGCGCCTTAGTGCGGTCCGTAACTTACTGGTAAGAATCACTGGTAGCGGCGGCACGTCGACGAAATGCATGACGAGCGAGCGAGGATCGAGTAATGGTAGTGGGGGAACTTGCTACGAGTGGTGGGGATTCAGAAAGACAATGGAGAGGGGGAATATAGTGTATCGTGCGTGTCAGAGACGCTGCCAGTGCGGGGTGCCACCGCCGAAGATGTTCGCCAAAGGTGGTCTGTCTTATTAAAGCCGCGTAAGGTTTTTTCTTTTCTTTTCTTTTTTCTTCTCTTTTCTTTTCTTTTCTTTTCTTTTCTTTTCTTTTCTTTTCTTCTCTTTTATTTTTTTTTCTTTTTTTTTCTTTTTTTTCTATTCTTTTTTTTTTTTTTTTTTTTTTAGAACACAATTGGATAAATATTTATTCCCAAGAATAAGATAATTATGTGTGATAATAATACGTTGTTAAATTATTTATAAATGAAAAGTGATATATAATTTGTATTTATATTTAATGTAATTTGTATTTGTATTTATATTTCCATTTGTATATCATAGTTTTATATGTATATATTGAAAAATCAATTGTGCGTTTGAAGTAATCGATTTTGAAGATATCACGTGAGATCTTTCCATTCGTTAGTAATTAATATGTTTTAATGGATGATATGTTATTTAATGGGACAATGACAATTTTTGTACTTTTTTTCATTTCTCTAATTTTAAGTTATAAAAATAACTTTCGAGGTAATGTAAATCCAAAGAAAACATCAGTTATGTAGACATTAATTATCAGGACAATTTGTGGCAGAGATCTATTAAGGACAATGTCTGTGAGTCAGTGCCCGCCTTAACGTCTTCAGTCACCTAAACAGAGTTGAAAAAGACACCAGTCGTTATCACATCTTTGAATATATTTATAGGGTCAGAAACCTACGGACAAAAGTATTCACTCCTCTGCGAAATCAATAGACAAGATTTACGTTCTCAGGTGTAGATATATATTTTTATTTGTTAAAAATAATACATAGGTTATATATGACTTATGAAACAAAGATTTTGTTTCATATGAAACAAATGTCATATGAAACAAATGTCGAATTTTATCTTGTCTTAATATACTTTTGTTAAATAAATTTTCTTAAGTACTTTCATGAGAAGAGATCCTTCCAACTGGAATAGAAATAATTTGATATTCGAAGTGAAAGAACCCTATCGTGATTTGTAAATCAATCCTCGAACATGAAGATTCCGTATCAACCTACGGGGTGAAACATTCTTTTAAATGCTTCTACGTTGCTTTCAAAGTAAATCATAAGATTTACACTGAAACCAGTATCGTGTAAGTAACAATATTATATCTTTTGTTTCTAAAAGACAGAAACCTAAATAGACAATTAAAAATATTTATATATAAATACAAACTCACGTTAAATTACAAATCGTCGATTGATAAGAATCTATTAATTATTTTTTAGGAATCTATTTCAAATATACGCAAAAGTAATACAATGTACATAATTAAATGACGTAACAAATTGTACAATAGTTAAAACGAAGTATAACCAAAATATTTATATTAACTAAATCGATATAAACAAGTTCAATACAAAATATTAAACTCATTTATAATATGTTAAATGTATTTATATACGTGTCATTTGTAGGTCACTTGATATTATTGTGATCTTAGGAATCGATTTCTTTGTTATATTTGAGGATAAACATTAACTGAAATATTTTTAACTGTTTTTACATCAACGGTCAAACGTCTTCCAAGAACTTCTGAATAATGTACCAAGTTGTCTTGTGTGTCGCGACAAATGTCTCTACGTTACGCATTTGTCGCGACATGTCGTTTTATTATCGTACGTGTGAACGTGAACGAAAGTACGATTGGTAAGTTTAAGTTAGCTTTAACGTTTTAAAGATACGCGAGAAACGTAGAATGGGATAGAGATAAAGAAAATAAGGACTCTATTGTGAATACGTGCGTGCTTTCGTGTGCGAAAACTACCTGAGGAGGACTCGTAAAATGCGATCCATCTACTTTAACGTATTTCGTTGCTCCGAATAAAATCCGTCAATATCGTCTAATGATAATTTCTAATCAAACTACATATACTCTCTATTATCTAAAGATATACAAAAAAATCCTTATACTCAAAATTATAATAAGATAAAAATTAATAAATATGATTATATTATAGATTCTTTCATTTAGTATTGTAAATTGATTTTTCTTTAAAAAGTTTGATCTTTGAGAAAATTTTAGGTCATTCATGAAATCCAATTATTTTCATAAATAATAATAAAATATTATTTGCCTAACTTCAATTTTTAATTTTATAAACGAACAGTAAAGTTTTACAAGGGTCTTTCGATAATTTTTAAGAATCTATATAAATCTTAAGAATCAAAAAAACATTGTATTAAATCATCAATAAATTGTACATCCGTTGCCTTGTATAATTAGAATTATATCATATGTTCACTTTGATAAATTGATTTTGAATGAATCTTTACTTGTTTATTAGATATCGACTACTTTTATAAATTCCTAAGCTTTCCTGACGCATCAAGAAAATAGCAGAGTTTCATGAGAGAGCGTCACAAAGTCGGGTTGGATCGGTTACGGAAAGAAGTAAAATCGTAAATGGTCGTAAAAGTGGATACGCGAGATAGCAGGCGCATACACAATACTGGTACTTCTTTTGAAAGTTGTTTCATTTGAGGATCGAATCAATGTGTCGATTAAAGCGGTTCTCACTTTCTTTTTATTTTTCTAATTCTTTCTTCGATTTTTTTCATCTATTAAATTTTGCAATTAAAAAGGATTTTATTACTTCAGGAGACACCGACGAAATAAATAAATATAAACAGTAAGTTATATATTAGATTGACCACTTGATATTATTTTGAGAGAAATTATAAATATCCGTGGTACGATATACTCTACGAAAAGATTAAACTCTTCTTTGGGCTATAATCATCAACGACGAGGAGATTACGACGGTGAAACGGAGAGGAAAGAGAAAGGGAGTTATTTCACTTGATTAAATGCCAATTTAAATCGAATAATTTGTCAACCACTTTACTCGAATGAAATTTTTTTTTAAATTTCCTAGAAAACTTTTAGTTTTAGCGATCTTCTGTTAGATCGATTTTTCTTTTTTTTCTTTTTCTTTTTTTTTTTTTTTTTTTTTAAATTTCATAAAATTTGAACAGGAAACTTTCACGAAATATTATTCGTATAAAATCTAATATTAATGCATAAAGAATTATTATGAATGAAACTTTTACGTTAATTAGAAAGTATATGATAGATCATTTTTCTTATTATTTGTAATGATCTTAATTTATTATAAACCATTACTTCATTCAAAAACAACAGTTCCTTTGGAAGGAAATTAGAAAAATTCTAATTATAAATGATTTGATTACATTGGGTTTCACTTTCTCCTCTTTATTTTAATTATTTATAATACGAAGATTGTAAAATGTATCAAATGATCAATAGAGAAAAGATATAAAATTCGTGATTAATTGTATGTCACTTCGATAGGGAAAATTGTATTAAATGGCATGCATCGAAGTTCATTGCAACTCTGAGATACTCTGAGAGAAAAAAGAAATTCAACCGATCGTAAATTTAATACATCTGTTCCGCAACGTATAAAATATTTAGTGTCTACATCGAACACACTTTTTATTGATTCCTTGTACAATAAAGCACGTTTTTTTAATGCTCGTTTCTTTTGAAGAAGCTGACCCTTGAGAGCAATCAACTTAAATACCTCCTATATATTCGTTATGTCATAAATTAATGTTTCTTGATGTTTAACAGAGTGAAAAATTTACGTAGGCTGAATAACTCGCCGAGCATCAATTTAATGAGGACTTACGTATCTTGGTTGGAAACGTATCTAGTAAAAAGAAAAGAAAATTTCTTGTTTTCGGTCCATTCAAGAATCCTTGGTAGTTTGTAAATATTTACATATAACTCAACATACTAATGAGTGTAATATGTATGCTAATATCTTTAGGAAGATATTGAAAATTTTTAATATTTATTTATTTATTTATTATTTAAATTCTAAAAGATAATTTTTTTGCATATATATGTATATATATATATATAAATCTCTCTCTCTCTATATATATATAAAACTATTAATATATATATATATATATATATATTATTATATGTATATAATAATCTTTCTAGATATATATATATATATATATATATATATATATTAATTATTATATGTATATAATAATCTTTCTAGATATATATATATATATATATATATATATATATATATATAATTTAAATTTAAATTACCCTATATCGCGTAATTAAAGAAAAATCTGCTAAAGAGCTATGAGAATTTGTTCTTCAATCCTACTATAACGGTAAATGTATAAGATCATAATTACGAAGTAGTCTGTGACAAAATGAATTCGATCATGTATCATATATATGCATACATACATATATATATATATATATATATATATATATATATATATATCTTGTACATAATATCAATAGATTCCATCTTGTAGAAACCTTTCGAAAGATAATTAATCAAAAGTTTTATTTACCAATTTTTATTATGAAATAAAACGACGATAAAAGTAACGATTTCATTTGACTTGACGTATAAAAAATTACTTCATGTCTTATCATCTATTCGTAAAATAAATTTCTATCTTTTTTTTCTCTTAACATTTTTTTAACTAAAAATGATCATGAGAGTTATTCATTCACAATACTTATCTCTTTTCTTACGCTTACATCAACGTTAGTTACCTGCAGCTACAACTCAGCCGCAGCTTAATTCGAACAGAAGAACAAACAAAGTAATTAATATCTCTAACAGCCGTTTTGATTCATTGCTCGTATATCTCATATATCTCAAGTCAGCTTTATTCGCATTTAATTTTCTAGAAGGTTTCGACGATCCTCATTAAACGATCCAAGTCCTTAGGCAACACCACAATAGATGATGCAATGTTGATTTGATTTCATTTAGATAACTCAATAAATTATTCATAAACCAGTTTTAATTAAAATATATTATGATATTTTCAAATGACACAAAAAAAAAATATCGTAGATATTTATCAATTTTCTCAATATTTATCGTACTCAATTATACAATTTTTGTACACAATTTTTTCTATATTTTATTATCCATGGCTTATCTCTCTTTTTTATAAAGGAAAAATCAAGTTAGAATATATATCGACGTCAAACTGCTTAGATCTCTATCAATTATGCACGCTCGTTTTCTGATGGACGTAGACTTTTAAGATTTTGCTCGGATATTCAAGGCCATGGCGCATGGATGAGAAAGGGAGAGAAAAAAGGGGAAAAGAAAATCGAGAGAATTTTTAGAAAATTAATCAACATGCAAATAAAATTAATTGCTTACCGATGAATTTATAGGCTCTGCTCAGCCATCACCACAAAAGAAATAATTATTTAACTCTTTTTCTACTACTTCAATCTAAAATTGTAAAAATGAAATTTCTATATTATATATATATATATATATATATATATATATATATATATATATATATATATAGAGAGAGAGAGAGAGAAAAAGGGAGAGGGAGAAAGAGAGAGAGACAGAGAGGGAGAAAAAGGGGTGGAAATAGTAGAAATCAAGATCCAAGTTTAATAAATCTAATGTACATTCGGCGGCATTAATCATGGTGGCTAAGTCGGGGCAATTACAATGAGTTATTTGTGACTATCGGTCGATGTGCATCGAATAACCCTGTCGTTTACTTCTACCTCTAGTTAACACAGTTCCAGAAAAGTTTTGTCGCAGAGTGTACTGGCAGAAATAGCGGGCCGCTGGCCGATCGGATCGTATCTGATCTCGTCTCACCATAGCTAGTAGCTTATACCACACGTATACTATACCATGCGTGTAATATGTGCATTCTAACACAATATAACTTAAAGACTAGCAAAATGAGCATCGGATACTATACGGTAGCTCGGTAAAAGATGTTGTTATATAAGTATTCACTTTGCACTGTTTCCAACAATCTTTAAGACAATCTAAATAGATCAGAATTTTTTTTTTCCTTTATTTTTTTTCTATAATCTTAATCAAATTGTATATGCATGATATACGCAATCGATGCAAATCGATAATTAATCAATATCAGAAATGTAATACTATAATAAGTTATAGGAGTAGGCTAAACAAACAGAACTGTTAAATAGCGTCAGTATGCTAATAAATTTCACACATGCTTTACATAGATTATGTATATTTGTATGTATATTATGGAAACAAGAGATCAAGATATATTTGTGTTTATTAGATTAGAAATATTTTCAATTCCTTACTATTATAGTCAATTACATTCTCTCATGTTATCAATGAGATATTTTTTAAAAATAATTGCGATAAATAGAGAAATTTTTTTGAAAAATAAAACTTTCGTAAAAATGACTTTAAAAAGAAGAAAATATTTATGATTTTTAAAGTATCTTGCCCTTTTAAAATGACATTACGACAAAATTCGAATTTTGCTTATTAGACGAGCTAAATTATTAATGACTATATTTTAGTACGTTGTTAATACACGTAATTATATTCTAATCACATGGACGATTTTATCTCGACAATTTATGTATTGAATTGAAATGGTAATTTGCTTGGTTACTATCAGCTAATGTCATCTCATCAATTGTAACAGGTTTAACTAATCTATAAATTGCTATCCCACTCATAGATGATTCGGTGATTATAATCTGATATATTTGATATAACTATATTTTGGATAAATATTTTTTCTTAGATATTAACCGACAGTAAATAAACGAGATAACGTTTAACATAGATAAAATGTCATTTTGAAATTTTAAAAAATTACTTCAATAATACTTCGCTTTCTCCTTAGTATTTAAAATCGTTTAACATATCTTCATTAAAAGAAATTAGAATTATTTCATTTCCTTTTTCTCTTATTTCCTTCTTTTTTCTCACGAATCGAGGAAAATTGGAACAAAAGTTATGAGACCGTGAAATACTTTAATATACTATACCTAGAGGCTGTAAATGTAAGAGGTCCATAAGAAATTATTAGAAGAAGAGGAAGCAAACAAATTACTCGACTGATAGGTTCGCGGAAATACACGGTTTCGAAGTGTACAGTGAGAATAAACGATTGCTGGTTAGATGTACTCTATCCGTGGAGATATATAATTTCATAAAAAATTATATTTTATATGAAAATCAATTCTGAAACTTTCAAGAATAAACAATTACACTGTATAAATTATCTCACATTAACGTTCTTTTCTATAATATTATCCATAAATAGTTAGAAATCTTTACTTTCGATCAGATACGATACGATATCTGTGAAATATATTAAGTATTTAGAGTACTATAAACACGTGCCAATGGTAAATATGAAAGAATGGAAATATTACCTTTATCAAACGTCATTGTTACATTTCATAATATTTCGAACGTGGTAACTATAACGTTTCACATGATATTTTAATGCATACAATGCAAATGCACAGAAACGTTCTCGCGTCGAGAGTACCTCATTATCATCTTTCAAACTAATATGCAACATCGAAGTGATAGCTCTACCTCAAAAGGAAAGAGGGATATGTTAAAGGCATTTTAGAGAGATTCTTTTTAGGATGCGTAGTTCACGCATGAGAGAATGATGACGCACCATGATCGGTTCAGACGCTACGTCACATATCAAAGTTTCTTGGAGCCGTTGGATAGCCGACACACGTCCGCCTTCTTGGTACAGGACCACGGGGCCACACTTTTGCGATTCCTTGATTGCGAACGTGGAAAGAAAGAAGGAGAAAGAATGAGAGAGAGAGAAAGAGAGAGAGAGAGAGAGAGAGAGAGAGAGAGAAAGAGAGACCGGCTGCAAATTGCTTCGTGCACTGAAACAAAATACCGTTGGCCAGCGTTTTATAACTTCATGCGTTTCTCCAAGGAGAACAGCACGTTGCACCAGGATTTTTGTATGCGTCGATACAGCATCTTAAGTTACCAATTCTGTCTCTGTCTCTCCCTCTCCTTCTCTTTCTCTTTCTCTCTCTCTCTCTCTC